GGGTGGAAGAAACAACGTAATGCGTTTAACATTTTTGTGAACGGCTACGATGCACGAGAGATGAAGGCGTTCTTTGCGTGGCAGGAGCGTAATTTGCTACGTGGCTCGCAGGGAAGCGGTGAGGGTAGAGCAGAGCTTGAGGAGAGATGGCAGAGGATGAAGGACCGTATTTGTGTGGTTGGACCGCTTCCTCGCTACGTTTTTGATGAGAACAATTACTCAGGGCGCCGTAGCGCAATTAACTCAGCGCTGTTCAACACGTCTGACGCAGACTTGGGGCGCTTTGCAAAAAAAATGTTTGGCAACGCTGAGTGGGGCGAGGACGGGACCGCGGACAAGCTGATCAAGGTGGTGCGTGTGTTGGAGGAGGAGCGCGTGGTGAGGGATGCGTCGGTGGTGGTGAGGCCCAATGCGGGGAATGGAGGGGACGCGGAAAGCTGCAGGAATTTTCCCGTTTCAGTTGAGGCCAAAAAGAACATTGCGGAGGCGGGTGCTAATGAAGAACTTTAAAATGTTCCGCCTGCTGTCTGTTGTGGGAACGTGGAGTAGGTCTGCTGATGATGATATTGAGTGCTTGGGCTGCGTGGCGTTTCTGATTAGTGACGTCGCCGGAGCAGTTGCTCGCAAGGTGCAGCACCTTCCCCGCAACGAGGGAGGAACGCGGGCCCGCGTGTTGGCGGACGGGCATGCGGTGGGCCTCTTTCCAAGGGGACCCCTGCGTGGTCGGGTGCATGGCAGGTGAAGATAATAGAAGAGTAATAATCCAGACTGAACTTCAAGTCGGCGTTCTGTATATGCCCAACAAGTGTTTTTCCTCGTGCTGGACGCGTTCTACGTGGTCGGGGTGCAACCAACAGTAACTGCCACAGTGGACCCCAGGTAGGCTGACAATATTCCTGCTGGTGGGCACAGCGGTGCGGAGAGTGAAGTGACGTTCATCGGGCTGCAGGTGACAAAACACAACACCCACCACACCACTGCCGGTAAGGTGGCTGCGTTTCTGAAGTACATGACGTGCAACTTCAAGGGCTGGGAGGCGCTGAGGGAAAAGATGAAGTGGGAGATCATTTACACCCAGCACGCTGAGAGCACGCCAATGACGGGAAGGTGGGATTGCCATGTCACGGAGGGAGAAAAGGAAATGCCAGGACTTCAGGTTGCCAGCGACCTTTGGGAGAGAAGGGTGGAACAGTACCAGGTGCAGCTTGACACGGAGATGGCTTTCCAGTTGGTTGTTGCTGCCAGCGAAGGCCACTCAGGATAAGTGACGGGGACGTGGGGTGTGGCTAGGAATTCTATGCCCTGCTCGTGTGTTACATGGTGCTGTATGGGTTTGTGTCGTTTCAAGACATTGTTTCAGTGCGTTTCTTTATTGGTGGGGGAGGAAGGGCGGTGGCATGGCTGGGAGTGGGGGAGAGGCGAGTTGTATTATTATTGTGGTTGGTGTAGTGTGTGGAGTGGCGGCTTCCTCGTGTGTATTGCAGCGGGGGTGGGGTGCTTTGCTGAGAGAAGGCGGTGGGGGGAGTGTATCACCCGCTGAGGCTAAGCAGGCGACGGATGGTTTTGTGTGGCTCCTCTGCTTGTTTTGCGGATGACTTGATTTTTAGCTTTCAGCGATGCCGCGTTGGGGAGCAGCGCGAGTGTTTTTTATTTTCAGTTCTTCCACGCCACAACCCCCACTGCAACTGATGGTAATAATGACACCCTCCAATGCAGAAGGGAGTCGGGTGGTTGCGGGGCCCACCGACTGCCGGTTGTTGGGTCGGCAGCGGGAATCTGGCTGTGGGGGGTGGCGTGTGAACTTGTTGGTTTGGGTGGTGTGCTGGGTGCTGGTCGCACCGAGCCAAACTGCGATCGCCCCATTGTGCATCCTTCGCTTTTTAGGAGTGGGAGCCATATGGCCTCATCTGGAGGCATATTTTATTTTATAATTTTTTATTTTTTTTGCTTTCATGACATTTTTTGGTGAGTCTTTTGGGCGGTTCGCCGAAGGCATCACCACGTTCAATGATTCTAATGGGCGAGGGCGTTTGTGCGATTATGTTGTGGCGGGCTACAACAATGCTGCGGGGGTTCGTCCTTCGCCGCCGAGGTGGGTAAACCTGCATGGAAGGCGTACACCGTTATTGAGATTGCCAGGAAGAATGCTTGTTGTCC